CACTAGCTATAATTGAACCGTTGACCTTGTCTGTAGAGGGTTAGGCGCCTAGACCACTAGGCTATGGGACCCTAACCCTAAAAGTTGAGTATTATCAAAATTACTAATATAACTATTTATCTCGAAAGAATAGTCTAAAGAAATATTAACTGGAAAAACTAGTCAGAATTCTTTAATTTTTGCAAAATCAAATAGGTTAAGGTTAGTAAATACTATAGAGAAAGAATCACAATTTGATTCAAGCAAAGGCTTAAAAAAACCAATTAGAAATACATTAATTGAAGAAGTTTTATTTTTTTGTAAAAAATTAGTTTCAAGATTATGTGAAGGCTCAGATGATTTAGATGAATCAGAATTAGTATCCTCTCTGTTTATCTCTATATAATTATAAATTCTTTATTTTAAATCTTCATCCTTATATTTATCATTGCTTAATTCACTTTTAGATTTCTCTTCTTTTTCCTCTCCTACTTCCTTAACTTAAGTGAAACATTCTTTACTTAACAGCTCAGTAGATAGCCTTTTGAACTCCACAGATACTACTATTTCTTTATCAATCCACGTAAAAGTTATTTCAGAAGTTGTCTAACAATTTTAGCTTGTACTTTTGATAACTAATTATTACCCACAATTACATAGCAACAGCTAGCATCTGTAACAACCACATCGATAGGTATTTTAAATCCAACAATAGCAAAGAGAAAGTTGGAGATTTCACCTAGAGTGCACTTACTTTCCCCATGAATATTTACCATATTAATAGTAGATAGTCTTTCTACCTTAATGCCAAGATCATGCAATAAATGAGAAGTAACAATGCTACCAGAGAACCTGCTATCAACTATTATAGGTACCTCCACACCAAGAATAGTAGCAATGCAATACAAGGCCATGGATTTACTACTAAAGGCTATATTAATATTAACTCTTGCTTTTTTTTTGAAATAGTTTTCTTTTTGTATAAACATCAAATTAATTTGGTTCTCATAAAAGGGATAATATGAAGAAGTTGACTAATAGTAATGTTGGCTAGTTTATTATATAAATCAGTAATAATAGAATAAGGTGGGACTAAAAATAATATTTGCAGCATTTTATCTTCAGAAACCTTCTGCCTAATTACTAGAACATATTTGGGTTTTATTGCTAGAACTTTAGAAAGGCTACCTGTATCTTTTTCTTTACCTAGATTATCTTTCTTTTTTTCTTTTCCTTTCTCTTTTTTTAGTTTATTTTTTCTTTCTAATAGTAACTCTAACAATTCTTCTACACCGAACTCCAAATCACTATTCTTTTCTTGAAGACATTTTGAAGGTCAAGACACATATAACTTTATCATAAAGAAAGATATATCCTCATTAAACAAATTAAAGAAACTAGTTTAATTATTTGTAAGATTTTGGCTATTCAAATTATTTGAGGCTAGAAGGATTTAAACTAGTGGCCATAGCTAGTAAGGCTTAAAAAGCTTCTTGGGGCTAAATTTCAGAAGTATTACCCAAATTTAGATTAATATTATTATTACTATAAGTATTAGGAATAGAGTTAGAACTAGTAGTTATAGAGGCATTTTGTGAGTTAACATTAGAATAAGGGTATACTATGGGGATAGGGGCTGGTCCAGGTTATACATTTGATTTAACGAGGCATAACTTTGATGTATATTAGATAAAGGATTCAATATTGTAGAAGAATGGCAATTTCTACTTATATGTTCTGCTCTACCACTTTTATAACAAACTACTCTATTAAAGTTTCCTGAGATAGGTGCTCATCACTTTTGGAGCTAGGCTAATATTTTATTAATATTATCTGTTAGTTTATCTATAGTAGCTTCAGAAGTTGCAGGAGGAGAAAAAAACCCAGTTGGGGTGCTTATAGTTATATAAGTAGAATATAGAGTACTAATAGGAGCTAGTAAATATAGAAAATTTAGACCTGCAGGTCGATAGCATAGCGGTTATGCTCCCAGATTGCAAATCAGAAGGTTGCTGGTTTAATTCCTCCTAGTGGCAAAATAATAAAAACCCAAATATGGAAGTGAAACACTGTGGGGTACAGGGAACTCAGGACATCTACGGATAGACATATTCGGAAATAGTTATTCCGAGAAGTTGTGGCTGCGAAATGAGGCGTGTTAGAACCCCTGATTTGGAATAACCGAAGTCACGAGACATAATGTGAGGCTGAGTCTGATAAAAGATACTACAAAAACTCGTGGTGACACCAGATTGGTTAGTGAAATCCTAGTACAATAGAAAGGTGATTCGACCTCTCCGGAGTGTCGTGCAGGCGATCAGATCTAGGCCCAATGAGGGAACCAGAGAATATCGGGCAACAGAATTCTAGGTGGATAACACATAATACCCGTATGGGGTTATGAAGGTCCTGTGACACTAAGTAGCATATTTACTAGAGTTAACTATATAATAGCTAGAACCAAAGTCACAGCGAGACTTGCCGAAGATATAAAAAAAAAATATATATAGAAGATTTTGTTTATAGGCACTCTCATAAGCCTTGGCATGATTACAGGCTGCCTGCATCGTATTTGAAGTAAATGGAGCAATAGCTAATACAATATTGAATCGTAGTCTGTTAAGAAAAAGTTGAGCTTTTGTGATTTCTGGGTACAGTTGAGCTCTGGTTTTAATTTGTTGAAACAACTCTTAAACTGCCATATAAAAAGTATCAATATCTTCACCTATTTGTTGTTTTCTTGATGCTAACTTGGCAAACTATTTGCCTTCTAGGGCTAGGATTTGAAATTGTAAAACAAAAACTTGTATTTAGTTGGGCCTAATCATTTTAAATATTAAGAGAATTTGGTGGTTGTTGTATAGTGTTCTACTACGTAGCTGCAGAACCCTTAAGGTGGGGTATGATAACTGTAAATTGTCAGTTATTATTAACTAAATTAGCTGCAAATACTTTCTCTATCTCATTTAACTATGAAAACTGGATCTTGATTTCTACCACTAAAATCCAGATAGGGCACCAAGTTTAATTCCTGATTTGGAATATTATAATTAATTTAAAAAGTAAAAGTGATCTGTATTTGCTAAATTAACAACCCTATTTGGGCTGCTAAATTATCTATAGTATTAGGTAGCTGACCTGGATTCAGTTGTTGCAGAGGTTGTGATTACTGAGGCAGTTGAGGTAGTTGTAGTGGGTTAACTGGCTAAACTAAGTTTGGCTGCTGTGGTGGTAGAGCTAGATTATCTGCAACAGGTTGTTGAGATATGTTAACCAGAACAGATTAACCAGAATTAGAGGATTATATTGAGTCATAATAGTTAGTGTTCCGCAGATATGATCTGAGGAACCAGATCTGAACCGGATTCGGTGATCAGATCAGATCAGATCCGGATCCACAATTTACAGGATCTGCTGAATCTAGATCCAAATGAGGATCTGATCTGAAGAATCTGTTTGGATCTGTTCACACTGATTGGCTGTGTTTAGTAGATTCAGATTGGTTAATTTACAATGTACAGACGAAAATAGAATACTTTTCATAGCGATAGTAATTTTTTTTTAAATATAACTGCTGTTTTTAATGCAACAGAAGACTCTTCACGAACGAAGCTTTAAGTATTTTGTTATTTTTGGGATTCACCTTACCTGGGTATACCTCACTTAGAGACGATTCTTTAAGCAAGGTAATTTGTGTGTTAAAGCTTCTAACTGACTTACAAAGTGTAACTAATTGTTTGAGAAAAGAGCTTAAAGTAATATATAGTAACTTTATAATAATAATAATAATAATAATAATAAATTAAAATAGATTATAATATTTGAGGCTTTATTTAAATATGAAGAACTATTGGTAAGTAGTTTTAAATTTCAGGATCTTGAAATTAATAAGTCCAATAAGATTTTTTAGTGTTATTTAAGAATACAATATAAACTTATATTTGTTATTTTTTTTTAAGTAATAAATAGGTTTGACTTTATTCATTTTGTGGTTTATATATAAGACAGCTTTATTACATATTAGAGAGATTATGATTCTATTGTTTGATGTTTAATGAAAATTTATTTACAATAATTTTACATGGCGATAGGCTTATTCTATCTAAATTAAATCACGTTAAATCATTCTGGTCTATTTCTAATATTGATTTGTCATATATATGTAAAATTCGAGATTTTTGGTTATCATCCATATCAAATGATTTATTATACTGTTTGTTGAAAAATTTTTTGTTGAAAAATTTTTTGCCAACCTGATATGGTTATACATAGTATCAACCAATCATATCATGCCAGTCATGTAACTATATTGAATCCGGATACAGATCTTTTTTATTCAAATCCAAATCTGGACTTAAATCTGATCCAGTTTTTCAGATTAAATCCAGATCTTTAAAAATATCCATCCGATCCGATCTGTGTGGAACACTAATAATAGTCAATCTCAAAATTTGCTATATAAAATATTAATTTCAACTAATACGTTTGTTTAATTTAAGGTATGCTGTTTTTATTCTTCTACACAATCGGCACTAGTTGAATTTGAGAGAGCAAAATGATTATAAAAAAATAGAGCCAATTTAAATTCCAACTGAGTACGAAAATTGTAGTTTATATAAATAAAAGGAAGAGGTAATTCTATCTTAAAAATAATCAATTCTCAAAATAAAATAAACACTAGAGAGTAATAAATTAAAATGATTCAGAAATGATATCAATGAATATAAATATTGAGAGTATTGATTGATTTGTAATGATGTTTAATGAAAAGGATTTTGTATTAAATATAAGACTTAAATAAATTAGGCTTAAGAATGAAGATTAATATATTCATGATTGAAAGTTGATCTTAATGAATACTGATATTTTAAATAAATTATAATTTAATTCAGATATTTATAAAATCAGCTAATGCTGGTGATGCCAAAGGAGGTGGGACAGTTTACTTTTCTTTAGACAGAATACTTCTGAATGTAAATTATATGACCAAGTTTTAAAATATAAAGAGGTTATTATACAAAATTTTGAGTCTTAATAGAATGATGTAAATTTAAAGTCAATTCAGTTCATTGAATTGAGTCTTACAAGGTTTTATTAAAGTTACAAGTCAAATTTATAAAGGAATAAGTATTTTCTTTATTATTTTGTTTTATTAAAAGCAAAGATAGAATTTGTTCAACTTTATTAAAATTCACAGACTTATATATATATAATTTTTTGAGAACGTCTATATTATATTACAAGCAAATTTAGTCTAATATGAATATGTATATTCTTTTCTACATAAATATATTTTAATTTGAGTGACTATACTCTGGGTATAGAATCTACATTTTTGTATAAGTGTGTATATGTGCTATTTTAAGCATTCATACATTTATATAAGATAAACCACCAAACCACTTCACCTTTCTATTTAGTATAACTAATTAAATATTTTCATCGTGACTATACTATATGGGTACTGTTATCAAAATAGAATTGGTGGGGGTTAAATAAAACTATATATAAGAAAAATAACTAAATAAAACTATAATAAAATAAAAGAAACAACATAAAAAAAAATAAATCAAAAGAAAATATTCATCACACTATATATATAGGTAGAAGAATTAGCTAATTAGAATGAAAGTTTGCTATTCTACTAGTAGTGGTAGCTAACAGTAGCTATTACCTACTAGTATATACTAGTAGAGAAATTGTGATTTGGGAGAATTCACATCACTACACACACCTCAAGTAACATATTAGTAGATTTATAATATAATAACAATCAAACTTTGAAATCAAATCTTTTATCTCAAAATAATGTATATGGATATAATTGAATAATATGTATGTAATTGAAATAATACACAGGTGCCTGTTATTTTGAAATTTTACAATAAAAAAGTCAATTGAATATTTCACAGATTTGTATATAATATACTCTCTTGGGTATTGCTGTAATTTATTCTATTATTCTTAATTTAAAGAAAAACAAAAAAACAAAAGACTACTAAATTAGTGAATATACAGTATTAACAAATACCAAAAAAAAATATTATTATTCAGATATAAGTCTGAACAAATAACTTCTATATTTTTTCTTTTTTTAAAAAAATTTATATTTGATCTTGCTATTATACCAAATTATTATGCTTCTTAATAATTTGAGTTAATATAAAGTCAACAGATCAAAAAGGTGCTAAACATAGTAACTAGAACAAGTCTGGTCCAGATAGTCAAAGGAGGTGAGTATGATTTGAATGACTTTCCACAAACAGTAATCACTAACTTAATAAAGGCGGTCAAAATTTGCGACCCAATCCTCCCTCCCAAAAGAATCTGATTATTCTTATAAATATCAATATCAACATGTTTATACTGATGGTTAGCTTGCATTATTAGTAATGTGGGTATTTAAGTATTTGTGATTTCGATTAGATCTAGAAATTCTTTTTTTCTTTACTATATATCATTCCTGTTAATCTTGACAATAATACTATTTTAACTTTATTAGTTTAGAAAAACTATTATTTGAATATACAAAAACTATAATATTACAAAAGATTTATATAATAGAGTTATATATTGGCTTGTTCTTTATAAGAGTTACAAAAAATGTGAACTTGTATTAATATTTAGTCAAATATGCTCAAGCTAAAAAAAATCTTAAGCTTTTTTTTTGAAAAAAATTAATAATAATAAAATAACTTTCAAAAATACTTTATTCTCTATATAATACTAGTGTTGCTAATAAAATATGCTAGATTTTTCAGGTATACTCTCTTTTAATTATTATTATTTTGAATCTTTATAAATCTTAATTAAATTCCATTATAAAATTGATTTTATTTTTGTTTTTTTCTATCTAATTTATAAATAACTATTACTTCAATATTTGGTCTTCGTTCAATAAACATAAAACTTCTTTTATCTATTAAATCTTATCTAGTTATACTGCAAACATTTTTTCTATCTGTTTTTATAATTCAACAAATGATTATATATTTTCTTGCTCTGATAATGAAGTAGTCTTGTTTATTGATTTAAGTAACTATATATCAAATTCTCTTCTTTACAGTTGGCAGCAAATTTGAAGTTATGTTTAATCCTGTTGATCAAATATATTTTCTCTTGTACTAATGATAGTTTTTTTTAACAAACACTATCTTCATATGGATAAAAAGACATGCTGTAGATGGAAAAAGGGTTAGTCACGACTGTTATATGCAAGGAAGAGACATACAATGAGCAATAATTCTTATTCTTTTAGTGAATCTAGATTTTAATAACTTTCTGAATAAAAAACATTGTCATACTTTTGCTTTTTATAATTTCACTATTACTATATAACTTTAATCTTGTTAATGAAATTACTATATTTTTGGAAAACCTTGATGAAAATTCTTCTTTGATATCTTTAAATTTTATAATTTGAACATGGGAGTGAAACTATTATTCAAGGCTCTTAGTAAAAAACAAGTCATATATTTAAATTCTTTATAGAGATTAATTTTATTTTTTATTTTTTAGTTTTTATATCAAAAATTATTATACTTATTGTCGGATACCTGTTTTAATTTGAGAAATGCTGATATTTTACTACAACACAAAGAGCAAATACAAGACTACAATAAACTTGAAGTTAATCAAACATCTCAAGAGGTTATATTTATTCTTATAACTAAAATCTGTTGCTTAATATGTTTGTAGTTATAGAAATATGTAGATTTTATAGATAACAGGGATAACTCAATTTTAAATAAAATTACTAGCTGTAGAAGTATATGTTATAATTTAAAAATCTTAATAATAAATTATTTTCTTAGGCTCTAATATTAGAAAACTTTAAATAATAATATATTTTTTTGTTCTAATAATTGAGTAGTTTTGTTTACTGATTTAAGTAACTATATATCAAAATTCTTCTCATAGTTGGCAGCTTTTTATTGTTATAATAAAATAGTATAAGTATTTATTATTATAATATTTTTATTTACTATATTTTCGCAAAATAACGTGCAGAGGTGAAATTACAAATTTCAGCCTAAATTAAGCTTAATTCAGGCCAAACCTCGAAATAACGCCCATGCCCGTTATTTCGCGAAAATACGGTAAGCATTGACATTATGGTATTGTTAGGGGCGGAAACAGCGAGTCTGTCGCTAGAAGACCAGAATTCTCATGTTTTCTCAATTTTAAGGCTTGAATAGAGG